AGCGTCGAAATCGCGCGCCACCGGTAAGACGGTTTTTGCGACGCGGAGCGTGGTGGAACTTTCGACGAGTTTCCGCGAAACGAGAGGCGACGGCAAGTTTCGAATCCGGCGGCGGCGTGTGCCGGTGACGCGGTTGCAAGAAACACCCCCCTCGAACGCGACTACCATCCGCGAGACTTTCTAATTAAAGATCCGGAAGTTTGTTAGTCGTCGCAAGAAATTCCTGCTCGCTGATCCGGCCACGAATCTCGAGTTACGTTCCCGTAGGTCGAGCGTCGAATTTTCCTCGCCTTCGGCCGGCCTTACTCGGGGGTGGTGGCGGTGGTCGGGGGCCAGGGGTTGGTCGCGCGATGGCACCGCGGAAGTTTTACCGGTCGATCCCGACTGCGCTGTCTGTCGCGCTAAGTCACCGGCGGCCGTGCTCGCTCGAGATTCAATGGCGTCGACGCGTCGATGAACCCACCTTGAAGAGGAGACTTCACTTGGTCCCTCTCGGCCGCCTGATGCTGCCGCGACTTTCTCTCCAGCTCGAGCTCCTGCACCAGCGACTCTGCGACAGGGAAAGAAACAAAGAAAATTCGTTGGTTATCTCGAATCGGCTATCCTCCAAGCACGTGTCTCGTCGCCGTCGTCGGCAAGTCGATCTCGTCGAGGCGTGAACCGAAACGCGACGCGAAGGATGAAACGGAGCGGTAATTAGTGGAAAACCAGCGAGCGCGAACTGCGAAAGGAGAAAGGAGAAAGGGGCGAAAGGGACAGGGATAACGGACGAAGGCAGGCGTGAAAGGGCCGCCGCGGGTTTGCTCACTGAATTCCGCAAGGATTAGGGTGAAAACTGGAAAATGTCCCTTTAATGATATCGCGCCGAATTAACCGCGGGCGGGTTCCTCGTTTCGGTCTACTTCGTTCAGCCGACGATCCCTCGGTGGCGGCGGTGGTACCCTTTCGCCGATCCGCGAGCGGAAAAGCGCGCGATAATAGCCCGAGTTTGGATCGGCGAGCATCGACGAATCGCGCGGACACAGAGAGGCAGGGAGAGAGCGTCGCGACGACAGGCGGCGGGTCGGGGAGGGAGAGGACGAGTATAATCGGTAAGCGTGAAATGGCGCCTGCTCGGGCAACGAGCAATGGTAAAATCCAATTGCGAGGCCATTAAATCCCAGTTAACCGGTGCGGCGCGGTGCACGGGCGAGAGGAGGAGAGGAGAGCCGCGGAGAGGCGACGCGTTCTTGCCCGTAGCACGAGTCGCGCGTCCGCGCGGGACCAGAGACGTCGGCGTCGGGGCCGAGATTCCATTACGCTTTGAGCAACAATAGCTGAGGGCTGTTTCGTGGTACGTGGGTGTGAATTCGTGCGTTCGTCAGGACCGTTATATTCCACGGGACTCCGCAGCGAGTGTTTGCGTTTCACTGAGCCAAATTACCTCTGGCGCCCTTATCCGCGCGCGGGGTGTTTCTCGTCCCTTTGATATCCAAATGACAATTTAACTGCTCAAGATACGGTCGCGTTGGCCGTGATTGCCAGGGGTGTCGTATATATACGCGGATATATACGCCGAGCTTTCGTCGTCGTCGTCGTCGTCGTCGTCGTTGGGCCATAGACGATGGCACGGATACGCGAGTTGGCGTCGTTTGGGGCAAGTTTTTCCTCGGATGGAGGAAAAGAGAGAGAGGGAGGCTTGGTAGATGAGATCGAGACAGATCGTGCCGCGAAACGCATCGGCGCACTTGGAACGGCACGTACGTCCGTGGATATCGAGCGACTAATAGTTTTGCTACCGTATTACACACCCTGACAAATCGCGGGAACAATGAAAACAATTTCAGGCCGTACCGAACGAGCCGGCTGCCCCTCTTTCTCGCCTCTAAACGGTTCGTATTGTACCCTCGTCCACGGCAGCCGATTTTTTCGGCTGTCGACCGCGGCAGAGGGCCCCCGAGTGAGGCCGTTGAAAGAAGAGCCTCTCGAACTGTATCCGGTATGACTGTGCGTTTATCCGCACGTAATTAACTGGCGCACAATGCATCGCGAGAAGGCCAACTCGTCCTGCCGACCAGAAGAGACGAAGAAAAGAAGCGGATGGCTGGCTGCGGTGGCGGCGGCAGTGGCGGCGGTGGTGGTGGTGGTGGTGGTGGTGGTGG